CATGTCTCCTGATGCAGAAGATAAAGTCTTTTCAAAATATGTTATACCTTAAAGTGTACAGACCACAAACTGTGTATTAAGATGGACAGAGCAACAGCCGCCTAGGAGTGAAGCCAAAATATGTTGCTGACTGGCTGCAGTTTAGGTCATGAACCTCGCCTCCTCCATGTTAACAGATGGAACTCTGGTCAAACTTTTTAAAGATATTTTTTGGCCTGTTTGCCTTCATTGTACAGGACAGCTGAAGAGAGACCGACATTTGGGGTGTAGAGAATAGAGGATGACATACAGCAATGGGCCAAGGTCAGACTCTAACCCACGGTTGCTGTACATGGGCGCGCGTCATAACCACTAAGCTGTTGGTGCCGCAAACTATAATTTTTTATTTTTTTTCTCAGTCCCAAACTTTGTCAAAAAATATTTGTCATTATCGTGCTGACTTATGTCAAAGTGTTCATTTTTAGAAGTATTGTTGTTTTAATTTTTCAGAATTAGAGAAGATGTGAGGTCATGATCAAGAGCTCTGTTGACAAATGCAGCTCCTTGCAGCGTTCAGTAGAGGAGGAAAGGCGGGAGAAAACTAACATTACATTGAACTTTGTATACCCGTGAGTACCTGCTTCAAACTGACTGTCAAATCTGTTCTGTTGTGAACTGTGAGAACCTGAGGGATCTTTTGTGTTTTATCTGTGTTTTTAATGTTTGCTTTGCTTAGAGGAAGGGTGTGGCATCAAGTTAGCATTTTAAAGACCTTAAGATCTCAAACAAGGAAGCACTTACCTAAACTGTTTCTATCCCAGCACACCTGTGCAGAACTCTGACGCCCTGATGAAGGCCTTTAGGCTGAATATCAGTGTTTTCTACTCTTTCTTTTCTTTCCTTTCTAACTTATCCTCTCCCCCACGAGCGTGCCTGTAACCGTTTCAGAGACCACTCCACTACACTGATGTAAGCTGGTTGGCTTTTTTTGTCCCCACTACAGCGCACCTTGTATTATCGAATATTACCGGACACACTGAGCACGCCAGCCTCTGTCCATTTCACCTGAAGATCTGTAGCTCTTCTTTTTTTCGTATTTCTCTGCTTTGCTATTGATCGTTCTTAAAATGGAAATTGTGTCGTTTGTTTTAATCACCAAAGTATTCAAAATTTGTAAAAATAAATACATAAATAAATCTTTAGGACCTTGATGCTACACAAAGAGGTCAAATAAAAACTTGGATATAACCTCACACGGTTTGAAACCTCACTGTGTTTGACTCTGAAAAAAGGAATCTTTTAAAAATGATATATTAAAGATTTGGAACTACATCAAAAACAATTTCAGCTGTGACGAGATTTACAGAGAATTACATCAAAATGTGACAACAAATGAAAACTCCTGCAGCTGAAGCTCGTACAACATTGAAGGTCTACTCTACAAGATGAGCTTTATTTTTAAACACTTCTGTTGGCTCTTTTATTGAACACATATCTTGTACTTTATCCGCTCCTTTTATATTTATAACTTCTGTTTTATTTCATTGATCTCTTCCCTTTTTAACTTGTCTTTCCTTTATCCTCATTTCTACCTTATCTTTTCTTACTATGTTTTACTGACTGGTGGTAAATTCTTATTCTTACAGATGTGTTACTTTATATTGTTTTTACTATGAGCTTTTTCTCTTTAGTATTGAGCTCTGTTGTCACTTCATCATGTTTTGTCGTTTGTGTGTAAAAGGACGCTGACACTCTCACAGTAAACCAAATCCTCCAACAGGGTACCAGTAAAGTTACCTTACTCTCAATACTTTTATTTAATGTCCTTTTTTAAAAACCTCATCCCTTACGTTTGAAGCAAAGCAGTTTGCCTTCTTGAAAGCTGCCGTACAAACTTTCCTACAGTTTATTTTTGCACTTGCAGTGATGAGGCATGTGTTACGCAACGTCCACTAAAAGTCATAAATATTCATCCAATTTTCAGGCGTAATTTCATAGTCTATTTCCTTAAAAATATTCACATTTGCTGTGGCTTTTTAAGACATTTAACGTTTTTCATTGAATCAGGATTAAAGAGACCTGCGGCTAACGCGAGCATGTTTTATGCAAAGTCAAGAACTGACGCCTTGGAGGAAAGTTAAAAGAAATCAGGACACTGCGGACGTTAAAGAAAAATGTTCAGATGATGATTTGTTTTCTGAAAAGCACGATATTATCCCAAGAATTTTTTTTTTTATGAAGCCATTCAATTTAGAGCTGTCTCTGTTACCTCATCCTGACCTACTTATTCAGCTCAATGGAGAGAAGCAAAAAGACGACAAAATAAGAGAGACAGGCAGGAGCAGGGGAAGAGGGGAGCAAAAGCAGCGGATAAAGTGAGAGATGGGAGTGTGTGTGGTTGAAACAGGAGACGTGCTGTTGTTGAGTAGAAGTGTAGCATGAGGAGCGCAGGATATCATGAAATATGTAGGAAGGAGCCGCCCGGCAAACGGAACACAAAGCCATTAAAGAAAGTCCTGGAAAAAGCAGTCAGCTAGAAGTATAAATGTCCATTTCCTCATCACACACAAGCACACCTAAAAGCACACACACACACACACACACACACACACACACACACACACACACACTCGTTCACAATCTGTGACTCTTTTATTCATGCATCTCCTGGAGAAAAGCCACTCTTGAATGTTCGCTGACGTGAACACAGATGTTCGACACACTTTTGTGCTTTAAAAGACACAAGCCGGCAGGTAGACATGTGTGCACACGACCTCTCTCTCTCTCTGCCTCTCTGTGCACTTTGTGTTATTTTGACAGTACATGTAGAGGACAGTGAGACAGCAAGTTTGACAGGCAGCTAGTTTTTTTTTGCTCATTCAGGGTCAGACAACGAGGCCGAGGCAGCTGACGCCGTCCTGCAAAGATCAAGCTGAGATGATTGACCTGTATGATGAGGCATTCATTATTCCACATATATTTGTCCTTAATTCAAGTTGTGGGTGCTCTAAACATATGAGTAAGAGATTGGCAAATACAACAGTCTTGAATCTTGGCAGCAGCTAGAGCTCAGGAGCCACACAGGATCTAATTTATTTGTAAACAGGAAAAATTTATTTTGCTTTGTTGAGCCGCCAAGAAAAAGTTTTAATGTGAGATCTCAAAGGAGAAGAGTCTCTCGCACTTTTTAGTGTTTTTAAGTTTTCATGCTGGCTGCACTTCAGTTTAAGGTGATGGTTTAGCTTAATCCAACAGAGGGTCCTGTGTGGGGCTGCAGCAAAGACTGTATAAAACATGGACGTGGTTTCAGTGACATCACCCATTTGTATCTGAAGGTTTGTTATGAGGCCAAATGACGGTGATCGCCAGGCTAGAAACAGACAAAGAGGTGAAGCAGACACTACAACACACCCACCTGTCAGTCAACTCAGCAACTCTTTGTGCTTAACTCTTTGCCTCAATAAAACCGGAACTGATGAGATACAAAAAAGTAATCAAGCACAGTTTTTACAAATTAAGAAATGAACTACAGCAACCAGAACCAATTTTTCCAAAAGTAAATCACCAATGTGACAAAACGAAAAGACATATGTAAAGCATATTATAAAAACAAAAACAAAACAATCAAACAAACCAGTAACATAAAAAAAAAACATCCCACTTAAAAAAAATAATAACACTAGTATATAAATAAGCAACAACAAATAAACTAACAAACACACAAGACAAAAGAAGATTAATCAACATCTGCTGTAGAATTTAGCATTTTAAGAAGCGCCGATGGTCTAGTGGTTAGGGTGTGCCCCGTGTTCTGTGGGTAAAAGTCCTCTAAAGCAGGCGGCCCGGGTTCAAGTCCGTCTGTGGCTCCTTTCTTGCACGTCTCTCTCTCTCTCCAACAACTTCCTACTTAAATGGGTTTTAAATCGGAAGTTTGGTTTTGAAGCCAGCTTCAAGTGGACACTCGAGGAACAGTAGTTTTTTGCACGTCTGCTTAGGTTTCATTTTGTAATATCGGAGGCTGCCTCCTCTGGACTGGAGCTGATATTAGTTAACATTGAGAGGACAGGTGATCAGTCAGCCACAGCATGTCACCCTAAGACAGACGATCATTGATTACTCGCCCTCACACATTCGAGCAATTTACAGAAGCAGCTGACTACAACCAACATGGCTTTGGAGTGCACGGAGGAAGATAATTGGTGTATTTTTTTCCTTCCTTTATTCGTGTATATATCCTGTTAAATCAAAATGAAAATGTGATCACAAAACAGGGTAAAGGTATTCTGAAAGAAAATGTGATGGCAAATTAGTTTTTAACTTTTCTCTTTGTAGTTTTAAATCATTTTACTTCAATGAAACCTTCATTTAAAGGAAACAAATATGCACAGTAAGATCCCTAGTTTTGGTTTGCAGTCACTGCAATGACTCTCACAATATGCTGTCTCATCATTTGAAATCCAGCATGTTGGAAAACGACATTTATCCTATAACCTCTAGGACGGCAGGCCCTTCTCTCTCTTTAAATATAGACACACAGCTTCAATCGACAAACTGCAATCAATAACCCAAACAGCAGACCTCTCTGCCCTCATCACCATCACTATCATCACCGACACCACCACCACCACACCCATGTGGACCATTTCCTCTGCTGAGGACCAAACTTCATCAGAACTTCTCTCCATGTCAGTCGCATTAAGCTTGGATTTTAAACACACTCGTGGAAATACATAGCCCATGTTCTTCCCTCCCTCTTCTATATCTCATAAAGGCAAAACGGAGGAAGCCTAAATCACATCAGCATGGAAACTAGAAGAACAATACGTCTAAATGTTCTCTGGTTGTACAAAAATGTCTATAGTCTATGACCAGTATTATAATGAAAAATATAGGCTGCAGCCTCAATTCACGATTTGCAGTCTCTGAGCAAATGTAAGGTTATTGATCTGCAGCCGCCACGTGTTTTTGCATCAATCTCAGCGGACAGTATAGCCTACATGAGGTGTGTGAGGAATTCTCACCTGGATGCTGCAGGAGATCTCGGAGTCGTCAAGTAACCTGATCGTGCACAGGACCTCCTGGTCCAAGGAGCGGATGCTGGGGCTGCGAAACCGGAGCATTTTCATCCTCCTGTCGTTTCTGTTTCAGCTCCTCATGACAGCGGATCCACGCGCAGTGCAGACGCTATAACGCAGCCTACATACAATGAGGATCTACGCAAACATGCATGCACGCATGTATGCACCTCTCCGTCGGGTCTCGTCAACCCCCTGTGTGACGCCCTTGAGGATGAACGATTGGATAGAGAGAAGGATGGATGAGTAACCGAATAGATGGATGCAACAGGGCTGGAGGGAGGAGAGCTTTCATCCGTCTCTTGCCTGCCACTGATGGATTCACAGGAGAGGATGGCTTTTTCCCCTCCCCTCTCTCTCTCTCTCTCTCTCTATCTCCCTCTCTCTCTCTCTCGCTCTCATCCATTCTTTCTGTGTCCAAATTACAGCATGAACCTTCGCACTAATGTGCATGGTGTCAGATTACCAAAATGTCTGTCCATTGATTGTGCTTTGTTTTAAAAAAAAATGTTTTTAGACCTCTAAATTATTTCAATATTTTATAATAGGCCCATTCGTTGAATTATGCAGCCAAAATGTGAAAAATAATGACACATTTTCATTTTAATATAGGCTACAGTGCATTTATCCACACGTACATTTGGGTAGAAGAATTAATAATGTGCGGTTTATAAAATTATTTCATACTGTTATCAGAAAATTATTAAAACTCATCTCAATGAGATTATTTTTTCAACAACAATGACGTCAAAGGCAAATTAGTATCAACGTAATGAGAGCGAGCGCGCCCACAGAGCAGAGCGCTGTCTCTTTAATGGCGCACGCAAACGTGCGTCGTGCGTCATCACGTATAATAGTCATGTGGTATGGTCTCTTTTAAACATGAGAGAAGTGGCTACAGTTTGTTGTGGTCTCCTTTCCTCTCCATAACGGGAAGTTTTGCTCCGCTTGAATAACAATGTAGCGTTTTTATTCTTTAAATAAGCGACCGGATACTAATTCCGTTTTTTTTTGGGTGGTGGGTTCCTCTAGCCTTTTCGTTGTTTTTTGGTGGTGGGTTACACCTGTGCAGGGATGAGTTCACAGCACCTCAAGTAGCAGCACAAGTCCATTGCATGGTATGTTTCATCACATGGAGCTCATGTTATTCCTTCATATTCCGATGGTGGAGTTGATGATTTAAATCTGTGTCAGAGGTGTTAATAATAATCTGCAGGTACAACCTTAGGGTCGTGATCTACCTTCAGGAGTCTGAAGATCCACAGAGAGAACAATGATCTACGTTATCATGGGAGTGTCGGGCTGTGGGAAGTAAGTATATGTGTGTGTGTGTGTGTGTGTGTGTGTGTGTGTGTGTGTGTGTAGAGGACACACATTCACAGCTTTACAAGGTTGCATTCAACATAGAAGCACACTAAAGTTATCTCAGTAAAACAAACAATGCAACAGTTTTACCAATAGCAATTTTATTTATTTATTTATTTATTTATTCATTCATTCATTCATTCATTCATTCATTCATTCATTCATATTTATTTTTATAAAGCACAGTTCATTACAGGTGAGCTTAATGTGGTCTTTACATTGCGGATTGTTAGGATTCATTTAGTCACATGAGGGGAAAAAAGCTGTGTAGGAGCTTTGGAGGGGACGAGGTGAAAGTTTATTCGCTGTTATTGTTACATTACATAACAGGTTACAGTACACCTGTCAGGTATAAGGCCAGCACTGCATAATGCCCACTGTAGGACTGTGCAAAAAACAAAAACAAATGAATAGTCATTTAGTTTTACCGTCTGCTGTAGACTGGGACTGGTTAGTCCACTCCAGGTGTCCAGACTGCTCTGGTTTATGAATGTGTCATTAGGTATGTTTAAGTACACTGTCACCCTTTCTTTCTCCATGAATCTACTTTCACTTCTAACATTTAGTCTTTTAAAGATGTTATATTCAGTCGTTACTTGACTTAAGGTAATGTGCAGAGAAAAATGCAGAGAAAGCCAAAAATGTAACAACGACCCAAAATGTTGTAAAAAAAAAAAATATATATATATATATATATATATATATATAATAAAACCCGAAATGTAATAACTGGTCGATAATGTATCAGGATGCTGAGCCCAAAACTTAATGACTTTCTGCATAAATATTTTTCTCCTAATAGTGTAATAACTGTATTACGTCAATCATTTATGGATTAAAGGCCTTATTGCTTCAATGTGTGGTATCATACACACATATATGTATATTTTAACATATCAATCAAGGACCGTTTTAATTCATTATCTAAATATTTAGTTTAAAATACTTTTATTATTGTGCTTCCAGTTATTTATTTATTTATTAATTTGGTACTTTTGGTTTCAAGGAGAGCGAGTGAGGTCAACATGCATTTCATTACACTGACTATGATACGCTCTTTAATATGTTTGACAAATTAATTGTGTTGTTAAATTTACGTCTCGTCTTTTTCCTTGAACAGAAGTAGTTTCGGGGCCTTCCTGTCAGAAAAGGTAATTGGATCCACTCACTTCTCCACATAAACAAACACTCTGAAAACCCAGAACACAGAAAATCTTAACACTCTGTGTGTGTGTGTGTGTGTGTGTGTGTGTGTGTGTGTGTGTGTGTGTGTGTGTGTGTGTGTGTGTGTGTGTGTGTGTGTGTGTGTGTGTGTGTGTGTGTGTGTGTGTGTGTGTCGACTCTTCAGCTGGGCTGGCCCTTACATGAAGGAGATAACTTCCACCCACAGGAGAACATTGACAAGATGGCTCGTGGTGAACCATTGACAGACCAGGTCAGCCTGTGTGTGTGTGTGTGTGTGTGTGTGTGTGTGTGTGTGTGTGTGTGTGTCTCTGTCTGTGTGTGTGTGTGTGTGTCTCTGTCTGTGTGTCTTGTCAGCTCAAATTGAATGTCAGTCATTTTTGGAGTAAGCCATTTGTCTCCTGTCATGGATAAATCACTCTCTCAGACTTGCAGCCACGGAAACACAACAAGTGTCTGGAGCAGCTTCACAGGAGCAGACAGTGAAAGCAGCAGGGGAGGAAACTCACTTTTTACTGGTATTTATCGTTTGTTTCGAGTCCTCCAAACAATCGACTGGCTACCTGCCAAAGTTGAGTTTACACACGCTTACAGGCAGAGCGAGCCCAGCCAACATTTGGCAGCAGATTGCCTTAAGCGCTGTTTGGTGACTGATGATAACCTCCCACTCAGAAATCAACTCTCAAACGAGGGGAGAATTAACCTGGGACTCGCTCTGTTTAATTCATCGGCATGTTTAGAAAAATACTCAACAGTTGGCCTTTGAATGTATGATGAAGTGGAGCAGAAATGTACATCTGGGATTACTGTCAAAAATACGCCTTTCATGTACTCCAGCTGAGGTGGTAAAACCCGAGTGGGCAGACCGGGGTCCCCCTGTTTGACTCAGCTTAGCTCTTCATATTAAAGCCCCGGCAGGATGACTAAAAATGGGATTCCAGCTCAGTTGTAACCACATTTGGACAGACTCTTCTTCTGATGGTAGTCTAATAGTGTGTTTATTCTGTTCTGTGTGGCTCATGTGACCCCAAAAGTGGGGCCAGTGCCTTCTCTTCTCAAACAACCAAAACGCTCAATTTAATGAGATGTATTCCCTCCTACACAGCCATGTTTAAGGCTATATGTAAACTCCACCTTACACATGTTCAAAGAGATTTTTCTACTCACTGGTTTGCTGCCCGGCCCGAGTTAAGAAAAGGGATCATATCAGACTAACTATGGCCTGAAGATATTCTCCCTGATTAATGATAATGGTACTGTTTGTGTTGGATGTGTAAAAAAGCAATTGTTCAACACAGACTTAAAAAGTCAGAGAAAATGTCGGTATGTCTGCTGCCCTCAAGTGACCGAAGATAATCTGTTCTTTATGTTTGAGAAGTTATCGATGCCTCTTCAGGAAGAATGTGCGACATTGTACACATGAATACAGCAGAAATCAAGTCGTGTGTAAAAGTCTCTCTGAGTCATTCCTGTGGACAATGAGTGAGAAGCTTCAGTCCCGCCTGTTGTACTGTTGTCAGAGCCGTGTTTACATGGACGGGGCGGTCCTGCATATAAAGCTGTTTTAGTCAAGGACTAGAGGAAAGAAGAATAACATACTCACTGATTATTTGGATGTCACATAGGTGTCTTTCTGTGTCAATTTATGTGCAACATGAAGCCAAAGTGTGCTAACATTAGCCTGCTAACACAACAATGCAGGACACAGGTGATTGCAGCTCGAGCAATGGGCTACTTTCCCCCCCCCGCTTGCGCTTTAGGGTGCTTAGTTATGTTGTTTAAAGGTGTGTCGCTGGAGGAGAGCGGAGGCTTCTGAAAAGCGGAGGTGTCGCCAAACAGCAGTTTAATGCTGGGGCTTAAGGGCTACTGGATCAAAAAGTGGCACATTCTTCCTTTAAGAAGAAAACATAGATCATAACAATGTAACAGACTGTGAAGTAAATGTACAAATATGATTTAAAAAAATATATATGGAGAGCAGAGGCCTAGTGATTACTTTGTGCGCCCCACGTGCAGACTATGCGGTCCTCGAGTCGGGAGGCCTGAATTCATATCCAGCATGTGGTTCCCAACTCTCTCTCTCTCTCTCCTGATTTGCGACTCTATCCACTGTCAATGAAGGCTTAAAAAAGCCCCCAAATCCTAAAAGTAAAGAAATAACAAATAACCCATAGTTATTCCTTTCCTTTAGGACAGACTGCCCTGGCTCCTCAAACTACATGAAGTCATTGAGAGGTAAGATTAAGCTAAACTTTCAGACACGCAGACTGTTATGCACACACGCACTGATGACTTAACCCACTTTTGTGAAGAAGAGGCTGATTGGTTTAGAGAGAGGGGGTGTGAGCCCAAGAGGAAAGCAGCGAGGTAAGAATACGCCGGCGTGAAATTGTCGGAAAAGATCAAAAATATCACTGATGGTTTTGAAAATCAGGCTGAAAACCAGGCAGCGAGGAGAGACACTTTGGGAGAGTAAAGACAGATTAAGAGAGTGAGAGTGAAGAGAGAGGAGGTGAGGGAGAGCTGAAAACTGAGCCATCTCTTTCTTAAAGCGTCTGTGGCAACATCAAAGACTCTTCCTTCCACTCCTCCACACTCAGTCACAGTTACTTTTCTCCATCTGCCCATCTTGGCCTGCCTGCTTTTCTCTTAACCTACTTCTTCTGTTTAGCCATATTTCACCAGAGTTCATTTTAAGTTCGATAAGTTTTCCAACTTTTGGAAAAAAAAATCTAAACAAAGTAAAAATCTGTGTGATGATCTACAGTTTTTTAAAGCTCCAGTGACTGATTTTCAGTTTGTTTATTTTGGCTCCCCCTTGTGTACACAATATATATCTTATCTCTTTGCTGATTTTGGCAAAAACGATTTAAATGTCTTACATTTACACGCAACTAATTCAACTTTAACTTCATTATTTTCTCGAAGGAAATTAGATCTGCAGCAGGCAACAAGACACGACAGGTACAGAAAAGACGACAACAGAAATACAGACGTAAACAACACCACACTGGTCCAGAGGCTGAAAGATTTACGACACACAGCATAGAAAAGTGAATTAGGTCAAATAAAGTGCTTTATATGTGATTTTTTTGATCCAGCAGATGTCGCCCTTGAGCACCAGCA